TATTATTATTGTTGTTGTTGTTGTGGTTCAAATCTTTTAAAACCTTCTAATGTCCATGTGAATTGTATATATATTGGAAATAAAATAAGGTCAGCGTGTCGTTTTTAAATCAGATTTTAATGCATCTTGGAGCAAAACCTTGAGAGTAAACAGGGGTTTTCCACACAATAACTAATAGATTGCATTTTATTATTATTATTTGAACACTAACTTATACTCAAAATAATGAGGAAGTTGGGCGACACTGTTAAAGTAAGCAGCTCTCAAGTCTAAAGTGTGTATCACATGCAGTCTTGTCAACCTTTAAGAGTCAGTTGCTTTCCATTGCTGCAGTTAACAGCAAGCAGCTCCTTTTCATCTCATGATCCCAGTTAAACCGGTGTGTCTGTCTCTCATATACACAAATACATACAAAGATGGGAATCATGGGGTGTATGCTTTTGAAGACAAATAAGGACAACGATGAGTTGAAATTAAATTTACTTTTAAGTGACCAGAGAAGCACAATTAAGACAGAAAACTCATCCAGGTGTGTTACATGCTCAGGTGTACTCTAATGTAGGCTGAGCCACTGCCAACAGCTATGTCAGCTTCTGAAATGCAATATCTCAGTGGTCCACAATCACAGACACTGCTGGACACTAACACGTGAGCTTACATGGTACCTTTTTGGTATTCTTCCCATTTTTTAATCAAAAGCCTTCCGTCTTTCATTTTGTTCCTTCAGAGCTTCAAACTGTGACACTAGGGGGCATCATTGTCCCGTGAAGATTCATACAGTCTGTGACTGTGAAACACTTCTTGTGTTTGAGTAAAGTGGATACCACTTGAAAATACGTTTTTACAAAAATTGGCGCAACCCACAGTTAAATCTGTCCTGAACTTACCATATAAAATATCATATTAAAGTTACATTTTAGTCTGAACTACACAATGTAATCATCACTGACCTTAACACAATAACCCTTTATTACAGTAAAACTAATGGTGACACTTTTTCTTGACAGTAATTGTTGGTAAACTGATCACACATTTGTTACAAGCAGATATACAATCATTACTGGACCAGACACAATTATAGATCTTCTCTGTCAATGAGCCACCCACAGTTTGTCTGCTACATTACAGCGTCATTGTCTCTACAGTCAGCGCTTAACAGGTGGACATGAGCATACAGGAACCCCTTCCCTTCTCCTCCTCCTCCTCCTCATCCTGTTCACCCCCCTCCCCCTGCCTTTTGTTTGGTTGCTCTTGGTGACGATGACAAAGATCACAAGCCCTGCCAGCATTACAGCTGTTATCAGGAGGCAACCTCCAAACACCAGCATCGCTTTGTTCTTGAACATCCACGCGCATAAAGAGCAAGGTTCATGCAGCTGACTAAACCTGCAGGTCTGCGTGGTGTTATCCCCAGGGAAACCGCCATGAGTGATGATTTCTCTGTAGACAATGATGGAGGCTTTGGCTTTGGATTGGTGGCGGGCTGAGGTAAAGAGGCCAAACTGAGGGACGTGTCGATCTTGCAGCTCCCACACGTAGAAGCCCTGCAGGTTGACTCCATCTAGTTGGCTAGCTGGAGACAAATAGAATAAAGGAGGCAAGTAAGATAAGAATCACCCATCAACCCTTCAATCTGAGCAATATGAATCACCCAGATATACGTACATATATGTATTTTACATTTAAAAAAACAAACCAAATGTTAAGAATACATGCCCAACGGTGAACCCATGTTAGAAAACAACACCAGTGTAAATACATGTTAGCTAAGGGCCATAAAGGGCAAAGTATGAACACAGAGCTCATCAACACTGTCACTGTACACTGTTTTTCTTTCCCCTCCTCTTTTTATGATCTTCATGGTTTCTCATTAAGTCTGGGTTTTATGGTAGGAAGCAATATGACCATAAAACCTGTATTACCTGTGGAGCTGTGCCACTTTCTCTCAACACCCTGAACACTGCATTTTGTTCCTACTAAAAAATAATCACACAGAGCATCGGATTGAAGGGTAACATTACATATTGGCAGAGTGACTGAGATGGAGGATCCTAAATAATGCATGTCCCACCTTTGAAGGCCTCCTGCAGATAACGCCTGAGAAAGTGTTGCCTGAGTTTGTCCTCCACAGGAGCCTGGTCATCAACCCCACTGGCTGTGACGATGATAGGCAGGGCCCTTCCATATCTCTGGTTCACCCAGTTTAGGATCTTCCGCAGGCCCCAGGGTACAAGAGCCTGCCCCTGCCTTGAGGAGAGCCAGGTGGGGTCAGAAAGTGTCAAACAATCATGATCAGGGGGTTGTTTCTGCTGAAAATTGGCCTGTGTGTGGGGATATGGAGAGACCAAACGGGTGGTAAAATGGTTCAGGGCAATAAAACTCAATGTCCCTCTCAGCTCCTCCCTCTCAGTCTCAGTAAAGTTAGGAAGAGGAGATCCCGGGAGGCCCATTACTCTAGCTTTCTCCTCCAGGTATGCCTTCATTTCTTGCGGGTAGTCCCCCTTGCTATGATTTTCCTCATATGTAGTCCCCAGCAGTGGGTCCAAGAAACGACCAAGTTCAAACAAAAGGAATCTCTGTGCTGCTGCTGTATGCGAGTCCAGGAAGGGGTTTGCAGGTTCGGCCCAGTCAGCATGTAATGCGAGGGATACTAGTGCGCTCTGTTGACTGGAGTGCTCCCTCTCATACAGCCTCCAGGCTTTTGCGTGAGCCAGAAGAAGATTATGAGCTGCCTGATGTCTCTCTTCCCCACTGGAATAAACATCTACCAGTCTGTTTGGCTCATTGACGGTGATCCAGTATGGAACCCAGGACCCCAGTTGTTGGTAGCACAGTGCTGCATATTCCTGAAAGGCCCCCACAGTGCTGCTGTTGAGCCAACCACCAGAGGCATGCAATGGCCCAGGCAAGCCCAGATTTGGAACTCTTTTCGTGGGGTGGTAGAGAATAACGACAGCCTTCAGGTCCAGCTTCTTGAGCTCGGTCAGGACACAGCGGTAGTACCTTTTAAATGTAATAATGAAACAGGATTATAGCATCACAAGTTAATGTGTGCAAACACAAAGAGAGACTGAGTCAGATATTGAAATTAAATAGTGATAGTCCAGGTTTGTGTGTTTGTGTATTTCTACCTCAGAGCTTCAGTGTTCACATTAGAGAGGTCTCCCTGGGGTAAAATCAGAGACCAGTTTAGGGCAAAGCGGTAGTGAGATGCCCCAGTGGACACAAATAGGCGAAGATGACCACGGATAGCCAAGTAGTCAGTGCACTGTGCTCGTCTGGTGTGCATCGTCACTCCTGGGACTGGACGTAATGATCCGTCTCCTGTCAGGTTCCAGCTGTACAAATGGGCATCAGTAAACTGGGGTGAGAAAGGGTAGAAGTGGACCTAAAATAGTGAAAAAAAGACATAAAAGAATAAGAATCAGGCTAAATATAACAAAAATATTATTATTATGTAAAAACCCTCTTTTGTCCTCTCAAACTCTCTTTTTTCTTACCTGTAAGGTGGAGTCAGCAATACCCCAGTGAAATTCACAGGGGAAACGGCCTTTGAGATCTCTGGTGGTTTCATCACTGGGGAAACCATTGTCAGCGACAACACGCCTGTAGTACTGAGCAGAGGTCTTTGGGGTCCTGATTCGGTTTGGTTGGCTGAAGTCAATGTAGAAAAGGCCTCTCCTCACAGTGAAGCCATAATTCCACTCAAATCCATCCACCAATGACCAGGCGGAGTAGCCAAACACCTGCACACCATCAAACCTAACAGCTGTAAAAGAAAACACAGCAATCAAAAGTGGAAGGATTTTTTTTTTTACTGACTTCATTACATTGTCTACATTTTATTTGGTTGTCCTTTTCCTTACTTACCTTGCAGGACCTGGTTGATAAACCTCTTCATCAGGTAAATGGCCACTGTGTCCTCCTTCCCCTCACTGGCTTCAGAAAACCAGCCTCCCTCAGCCACTAGCACCCTCGGATCTCCATACTCTAGCTTTATCCAGCCCAGTATGCGCCTCAGGTCTGGGGTCACAGTCTGCCCATAGTGGACCAGGCCCCGGCCAAGACGGAGGTTGTTAGGCCCGAAGGACAGAGCAAAAAAGTCAGCTGTTGTCTGCACCCAGAGCTTCTCTTCAGGAGAGAATGTCGGCAAGAGGGCCCCATGCTTGATTTTTAAAGAGACCGGGTAGTCCCCATGACCAAAGATAGGGTTGGCAAACCAGCCAAGGACAGCCTCTATTGACTGCTGGCAAAGCTCAACATTAGCATCTGTGGCTTGGCCTCTTTGAGGCTCAACCCAGTGGGATCCCAAAACAATGGATACTTTACCCTTCTGAGTTGGACGGAAGTGGGTGTTGTAGGTGTGCCATGCTTTGGCGTGTGCCTGGAAATCACAGCAGACACAGTGTTATGATGGACTGTACTGTAATCTACAACACAATCACAATAGTACAATAGGCCCTTTTCAAAGAAGACATTTTGACATGTCACAGTAACAAAAGCACAGGTGCAAAAAACATTAATAATGGCAGAATTTCATTTTTAGCTTTCGTTTTGGGGTCCTGGTATTGTGCACACTGGCTCACTGTCACTTGAATGGAACAGAAGCATCATTAATGTTATTAGTAACACCTGTGCTTGTGAAGTCAAAGTGGCCTATCATGCTTTTAAAACACTGCAAGAGCACACACAGAGTGCCTATCTCTGCTGATAGCTACACAAACCTCTAAATTGGTTATTTTAATGATACTTTTATAAATGTTTAATACAAATCTGGATCCAGGTCTGCATTAAATGACAGAGTGAGAGACAACAGTGTAACAGATTGTATTTATTTAAGTACTGTAAATTCAGTTGTTGATAAGAAAATAATAATTGCTTTCCCCCCTGTCTTAATGTGGGCTCATTTTCCACAAAATGTCATTCAAAGTTGTGCATCATTTCTTGAGATATTGTGCTAAGTAACAGATAAATAAGGAACAAACATAATTAGCTTAGCGGATGTAATAGTGTAATCATGAAATCTATTAGGCACCCGAGAATTACTATTTGCTCATACTATCTTCACAATGTTAGCTATACACATATTATCTGTGCTACACTGCATAACCGTAACTGATTATTAATGAGGCATATCTCCATGACTTCCTGTGACACATGGTTTCTCTCCAGCACAAAAGTGCTGATGTGGTGGACTTTGATCTCAATGTCTCTTTAAGTGTCCTGTTTACTGATCACAAACCTGTCCATATAAAATATGATCAGCAAAGAAAATAAAAATAAAAAGTGAACATTAACACTTTGCACTTGGCTGCACCAGTTATATCTTGCAACCCAATAAATCAAACTTCATAGTCTTTATTGATTTAGTTTATTTGCAACAAAAATTTATTTGAGCACTGGTGTAGTCTGTGTTTGCTTCACAGTCTTGTGACCTCAAAATCATCTGAAGGATGCAAACATTCATTGACGATCATAAACTGATAGAGCTGCAGTACAAAGTTTACAGACTATGTCCACAGACAATGTCTTCATATACTGTCATTTACAGCCAAGCAGATTAAGCACAATATGAGTACACACTATATTCATCTACAGATTAATCAACTCACCCTGTCTAACTTACCCTGATCAGGTTGTGGGCCACAATGAGAGAGCTAGCGGGACCCCCTGCTTCTCCAGGAGCGTGCACACCTGTACCATACCCCTGTACAGCCACCAGGTATGGATTATGCATTGTGAGCCAGTACCTAACACGGCTCCCAAATGTCCGGAAACAAAAGGCAGCATACTCTTCAAACAATCCCACCACTGTGTCGTTTCTCCAGCCTCCATAGTCCTCCTGAAGAACTTGTGGAAGGTCCCAGTGATAGAGAGTGACAATGGGCTCAATTTTCTTTTCCAGAAGCCTCTCTATGAGACGGCCGTAATGTTCCACAGCAGCTGTATTTGGCTGACCTCTGGCATTCCCATCAGGAAAGATCCTGGGCCAGGAGAGAGAGAAAGAGTAGAATCTAACACCCAGATACTCCAGTGCCTCCAGATCTTCTTCCCAGCGAGTGTAGCTGCCACTAGCCACATCGGCAGTCTCGGTTGTCAAATTACCACTGACAGTGGAGTGGGTGAAATGGTCCCATATGGATGGGCCTTTCCCCTCCTGATCCCAGGCACCCTCAGTCTGGAAGGCAGACGTCCCTGAACCCCAAAGGAATCCTGAGGGGAAACTGTCATGAATGAAAGACTGGTCTTTGCTGATAGGGTCCAGTTTGGGCTGTTGCCAAAGCTTCCTGCCCTCCCCAAAAGAACAGGCTGCCTTGTTCCAACCACACACCAGTAACAAGAGGGAGAGTAAGAGGCACTGACGTGTGGGAGGTGGAGGATGGTTCAGCATACTGAAGGAGTCTACCTTGTTTCAGAAATCCACTTGAAGAGGGTAGCTGGTGTCAGTCCGACCAATTGCTCTGTTTAATATATATCCTCTTGTGACAAACAAGAGATCCATGATGGTGGAGGACAGACGAGAATGATCACAGCCAGGAGAAAGTAACATCTGAAGCGTCGAGGTGCTGCGGTATCCATCTGACCTGGTCAGACTTCCCTATCTCTCCCTCCGTGTACTTGTGCTCTCACTCAGCCCCTCCCTACCACATAATGTTCATACAAAGGTTGACTCATATCCTCACACGCTTGTATTAATATATTGTTGAGAGGTTTTCGGTGAAATGTTTTTACCTGTAATTTCCAAAAACACTAATCTTTCAATTATATAATAAATAGACCATTGAAAAAGAGAGGATCGACAGATAAGAGGATATTACTGAGCTGTGAGGACATACACACACAGCTCTAAACGTGCTGTTGATTGCTGTAAAGAACATTCTTGTGTCAATAATTAGCTTGTACTCTGATCTTAGTTCAATGACTAAGAAGTAGTTCACATTGCAGTCTAATTACCACAATCGCGTTTTTTCACCCCTGTTGAACTAAGTTCACCCAACTAAGTTTCACATTTCATTTAATAGATTTCATTTTTCCAATAAGAATTCAGCAAAGAAATGTGAATCGATCCTTTAAATTCTAATAAACATTGCTGTTTAACACAAAAACATACTGTATGAGAGATGACTATCAGACGGGAATGTGAAAAGTGATCTTTGTGTTCATGTCCATTTGATATTTCAGATGAAAAACAAGGGGGGACGACACGATGCAGTGCAGCCTAAAACTGAAAATAAACAGGTTGTTCTCTGTTGTCTCATGGCCAGAAGCTGCTAAGCACCTCCGCAGTGATCTTCCCAGATTTGATCAAACCACGCCAGATGAGAACAGTGACACCAGCCTGTATGACCTTATTCAATTTAGCTCCACTTGCCACATGAGTAACAGTCAGTGACCCAAGAAAACAGCAGTGCTGCTAGACTAAAAACATTGCTGGGAAGTGTGTGTGTGCATGTGTTTGTGTGACTGTATTTGATAAAGCCTCCCAATCACAATGAAACAGGTCAAAGCCCATCAAAAAAAACCTTCCTTATCCTTCTTCATTAAAGGCAGTGTCTATAGACGTCTAGAGTAAACAGTGTAGTTGCCCAGGATACACACTGCCTTAAGGCATTAGTGGGAGTTAAGTTAATTGAGTTGGGAAATGGTCATCTACCACTCAGATTGACCTCAGTATGGTGGCTATAAAACTACAGGAAAGATGCCCTTGGTGCTTTGTGTGAATGAGTGTTTTTATAATATATTGAACAGAGGACTGACAACTTTAAACACAGCACAACTGATAAAAGCACAAAAAGAACAGTAAGTTATTCAAATTGTAATAGATTTAAATCCCAATAACTGAGTAGACTTAAATACGTTCTCTCTTCTTTAATATTGACATGTTTTTATGCAACAAGCATCTTATCATGAAGCGTAACAAATAAAGACATTTCCTTCAGTAAAAAGCTCTGTACAGTAAATAAAAAGGGAAGTGAAAAGAGGATGTATGAGAGAAAAAAATGTGATTGAATTGCTTTCATTTCCATGTGTATCCTCTCTGCACCATTCCCATAGAGTCTGCAGAGCTTGTATAAATAAGCAAACGGGGGCAGATTCTGACCGTCATTTATGTAAATTTGAACCTCTGCAACTGAGACAATCGCACATATTGAGCACAGATACCTTCAGCTACTTCATGTGACTGTTGACTTGGAAAGTAATTAAATATGATCGACTGCAACATATGAACTCATTGAAAACTCAACAAATCCACAAGCTTCTTCTGAAAAACCATCTGACTTCAGTACAGGTTAGTGCACTCTTTTCTCTGTCTATGAACTGTAGAGCGGTTGTATTTGGTTGTATTAAGACTTTAATTTATTTATTTAGGGTTTTATTTCATCTATTTAAAATTGTATTTTACCACCGTGGTCTATTCAGATTGAGATGACACACAAGTCAATATGAACAGACGGAAACAAAAGTCTAGAAAAGCATAAAACAACGCTTTAGAAACATAATGGTTAAAACTTTGCATTAAACTCTATTTGCTCAATTGACTATTTAAAATGTGACAATGGATTTAAAGAAATGTGTATCTATATTTAAATTTGTTGCGGGATGTGAGGATGTGGAACTGACTGTTTTGGCCATTACCATTTTGATTAAGGCTATTTTTATCAATGAGGATATGCTAAATAACAGGAACACCAGTTTCAGGCAATACAGCTCAACAGCAACACAAATTACATCTATTAAAATAACCATGAAGTTGATACCTCTCTAATAAAGTTAAATTATGACTTTGATGAAGGAAGGATTTATTGTAGGACTGTTGTATTAGACTGAATTAATTTAGGCTTAGTGCACCTATTAAACCTGCAACTGGGTGAATGTATCAATAGTAACACAAATGTTTATTTCCTTACTTTTACCCAGGCAAACAATGAGGCCTGTGACTACTGCCCTCTGGGCGACAGCCATGTTGGTGGGACTCCAGCTGAGTGCTTTATCCCCTGACGACATCGTAGACCTCTCATCAAAAAACCTCTCCTCCGTCCCGAGAGACCTGCCCCAGACGACTGAGATTTTAGACCTTTCATGCAACCACATACAGCAGCTTCACCGAGGAGACTTCAAAAACACCACTCTTCTGAAGTTCCTCAACATTTCCTGGAATAGTTTGGAGGAGATCGATCCAGAGACGTTCCTCGACACGCCACTCTTGGAGAATCTAGACCTGTCGCACAACAGGCTGACAAACCTGACAGGTCAGCAGTACCTCCTCCACACACAGAACCTTGTGGTGCTAAATCTGACCCACAATGTGTTTCTCACAATGACACTGGGGAGTGAGTTCGGTTCCCTAGTAAAACTGGAGAGATTAGCACTTGGAGCAAAAAATATCAGTATGGGTGATTTCAAGAATATTGCGGAAGTGAAGCTTCATACGCTGACCCTTTGCCTTGAGGATGCACTGGATTATGAAAGAGGCAGTCTGAACGATGTTCATGCTTACAGGCTTCAGATGGCCTTCACTGGGCATCAAATAATGGGCTGTGATCTGTTTGCTGATGCTCTGTCACTCTTTGTTGAAGTGGAGTTGACAAATTTGACAGAAGGCTACAAAGACCTCAGTAGGCGGATGAGTGAGAGAGCAGAGATCCACACATCACATCATTATCTCACCAACATATCAATCACATGGGCCGACTTAACTCACTATGTAAATACGGTTCTGCGTACATCTATTGCCCATCTGAGTGCCTCTGATGTGATCATATCTGAATTGCCTTATGTAGACACTCCGGTGGTTGAAACATCTAAAATGAAGTCCTTCACAGCCAGAAGGGCAGTGGTGAATTCCTTCTTCTTTTCACAGGAGGCTGTATACAACTTTTTTATGAATCAGCCAGTTGAGACTTTAGCACTTGTTGAGACTTCAATCATACACATGACGTGCCCCAAGTTGCAGAGTCCTATCCTCGAGCTGGACTTCTCCTTTTGTGCTCTATCTGACACCATCTTCTCCAGAGTGGAGGGTCAACAAAGAGTTGAATGTGAGAATTTGGGTAATGTGAGGAAATTGACTCTGGTAGGTAACAATCTTAAGAACCTTCAGTTGTTGAGCAAACGCATGCAAAACATGAAGTCCCTGCAACATCTGGACCTCAGCCTCAACTCTCTGTTTTATGATGGTCTTGAAGAATGTGTTTGGCCACCAGACATCACCAATATGAATCTGTCGTCTAATGGCCTGACAGACTTGGTTTTTAAATGTCTACCAAAAGGAACAGAGATACTGGACCTTCAGAACAACCAGGTTTCTGTAATACCATCAACCATCTTGGAATTAAAAAACCTTTCATTTCTGAATCTAAATTTTAACAGGATGCGGGACCTGCCAGCTTGTAATGGTTTTCCTTTGCTGAATGAGCTTCTGCTCAAGTCAAATTCCCTCCATGCCCCATCTGTGAACAAACTGGAAAGCTGCCCCCAGCTGAAAATCCTGGATGTCAGTTCGAACCCTTTCACCTGCACCTGTGCTCTGAGAAGTTTCATAAGTCTTGGCATCAAGTCTGAAAAGAGTCACACAGGAATTGAACTGTTAAGCTGGCCATTGGGCTATCACTGCACCTACCCAGAGGTAGTCAGAAACTCCATCTTGAACAAAATCTCGATCCCAGAGGTGTCCTGTAATGTTGGCCTTCTAGCTACCGCCATCTTGTGCCCAGCAGTGGTCATGATTATTGCAGTTGTGTCCCTGTGCCATCGTTTGGATGTTCCCTGGTATATAGGCATGATCTGGCAGTGGACCAGAGCCAAACATCGTGCCAGAACTCGACAAGTTCGACCCGAAGATCTGGTGGGTATTGAGTTTCATGCTTTTGTGTCTTACAGCCAGCATGACGCAGACTGGGTGCACAATTATCTCCTCAATAACCTTGAAGGCCCCGCCGGAGGGCTCCGAATCTGCCATCATGAGAAAAACTTTGTGCCAGGGAAGACAATTGTTGAGAACATCATCAACTGTGTGGAGAAAAGCAGACGCTCCGTGTTTGTGCTCTCTGGTCACTTCGTAAAGAGCGAGTGGTGCCATTATGAGCTGTACTTTGCCAGCCACCAACGCCTTGCTCAAGGCTCAGACAGCGTTGTGCTGGTGCTGCTCGAGCCTCTGCCTCAATACCTGATCCCATCCAAGTACTACCAGCTGAAGTCCATGATGGGCCGACACACATACTTGGAGTGGCCTCAGGACAGGGCCAAGCACAGGTTGTTCTGGGCTAACCTCAGGGCTGCCCTACAGGCAGACCTGCCAAATGTACCAGTCACAGAACTAGAGGAGTGACTGTGGAAGCAACACTTAATAAAGATAAGGAAGGGAAAGAGGAAGTGTGAGTGTGGTACAGTTGGTTGTTCATTTTCAAGTATCCTTTAACTTTAACTTTTTTGAGCTATGGCGTATAATTATTAATCTTGTACTATGAGCTGGAGATTAAGACTGTTCTTGTAATAATTCATATAATTCCTTGTAATAATTCATATAATTCCATGTCATAACTTCTTTTAATCACATTTAATGGAAACATTTATATAAACTAACAGTTTGATCAAGTTTGTAACAAAAACAATAAAATGTACCCAAGAATATCAAAAACGCACTTAATTCTTTTCTCAATACTGACTTCCACACAATGTCGCAATATGATTAAACCACTTCAAATGCGGTGACGCACATGTTGTAGTTGACACCAGTAAAGAAGAAAAAATACACACATAGCATGAAAACTTCATGAGCAATATATATTCAGGAAACCAGTATTCTCTTCAACTCTCTGAAAAGAGAGATCCACTTATAAAGCAAGGAGATGTATTCTTTCTTAAGAGTTCAGTGGCAGATGATAAAGACATGAGTGATGGAAGGGTGTCCTGTGTTGGGAAACAGCTGTTGGGGGTCATAAAGTCAGTCCAGCTGCATTAAAACTGTGGCTGGAATATCCACTATAAAAAAGGGTTCAAAAGTCACAGGCAAGGTGTCAAGGAAGAGACTGAATGATGATGATTTTCTCGTTGATGCAGAAACGGTGAAGCACACTGTACAGGTTCTCTCCACAACGTGACACCTGCCTCTCCATGGCCAGGCGGAAATCTTCCTTCACTCCTTTGGTGATTCCACGAGTCACTGTGTGATGCCTGAAAAAACAATACAAAATTTAAATAATTAACACAAACATACATATGGTTAAAAATGTATTATTATGAGATGATTTGAGGTAAACAAAAGAGCTCTATTTAGTAAAGACAAAATCATGGAAGCAGCATGTTACGTTTTCCTTACAGACACAAACCAGCCAGTCAAGATTACACAACAAAAGTTTCATCATCATAAATAAAAACCACATAAAACATGTCCACAAATGAAATGAGATCATGTGTTATGAAAAGGCAAAAAACTAAATTGACTGCACAACAAGACCAACATCATCCTCAAATAACAACAACAACAGTGATGACAGAAAGAGGAGCAATGGATCAAAGAAACAAACGCCGACAGGAAATCAAAGAACGACTAATTCTTGATGTAAAATGACAGGCCCAAATCAAAACTGGGGAGATGACAAGCCTTGAAGTTGGGAATGAAGGGGGGGTGACTGGTGTGGGGGAGGAATGGGACTGTGGGAGGAGGGGCCTGGGGTACCTGTCCATCGTCTGCACCCCTTGTAGGAGAAGGGTATTTAACTCCACCCCCAGGGCGGGACTAGGGTTCCTGAGGGACAGCAACATTCAACAACTCTCAGTCAGTGAGGGTGCATTCAAGTGTCTTTACTTCTGCAGCAATGAATGAAGGAGTTTGATAGAAGCTTTATTTTAACCATAAACCCCTTCTATTTCTAACGCCCGCTCCGTTAACAGCATTTTCATGTTCAAAGTACAGTTTTCCCCACAGGCCATGTCTACTTATATCATCAATCAATAGCACTGTTCTCTTTGAAAACAGCAACAGAACGGGAGTGTGCAGAGTCACGATGCCAACTGAAATGTTTCTGAATGTGAGGCGCTTACTTGATCAGCATTCCCTGATTGGGCAGCAGCTCCAGTTGAATCCTCCCCCCCTCTGGAGTACGCAGGTATGCAAACTCCTCCAGCATGTCAATGTCTGACGTTAATTATGAGCTTATGGAAACTAACATCTAAGAAAAGAGTACACAGACAAAGTAAACACAAAGTAATTGGTCTACATATCGTATTAGCCAATCCGTTCTTGTCACCCTCTATTGTGGTTGTGTGAACGGTTACACAAAAGGATACTGGTAACATAGTTGAAGAAATTCTCATACTGGAAACTGCCTTGCTGACAGATCTTATCCACTGCTTTTAAAAACAGCATCTCGCCCTGTGGCCAGTCGTGCTGCAGGAGCACCACTACATGACCAAGGGCCAGGTCGTCACGACTATCTGTGAAGGCACGGAGCTGATTGGACAAAATGAGGAAAATAGAAAAAGTGGGTTATACATGGTTTAATATCTGAATAGTCTAAATATCATGCATTTACTCAGACTTAATGAGTTAGTTAATTAGTGAATACCTTGAAGCAGGCCAACATCAGCTGGAGACAGAAGGGCAACACAGCTTTGCTGGTGCAGGGAAGCAATCTCAGGTCATTACCTAGGTATGACAAAAATGAATCACTGCATAATGTTTTGATAATCACAGTTTCATACGTCTCTGTCACATAGTAAGTGGTGTTCATATTAGGTTTGGGTGGTATCGAGGTATTATGGTTTATAATCCAGAGGGTATGATTTTCAATACCATAAAAAATACAGACGCTCCTCTTTCAGGTGGATATTGGCTCTGAGGTTGTTTATTTTCTGTGTGCTTTGTTCAGATTTGAGTGGGTATATTCACTGTCCATGTTTTGCCATGTGAATTTACTTTTCCCTATAACTCTCTTATTTCTCTACCTGTCTCTAACTCACTGAGCTGAGTGCACAGATTTGCCTCCTAACCAGTGCCATAAAGGCTAGAAAAGCTGTGCTGGTTAAAACAGAGAGGCTACAATGACTTCTATCACCAGCAGCTCAGCTTTTACTTTTTTCTCATACTTTTACACAAATACTGTTGAATATTGTCCCCCCCGGTAAAATGTTAGGAAGGCATGAACACATAGATAGGTGGATAGAGATAGATACTGCTCAAAGGTTTTAAGGGACAAAATTACTTTCAACAAAGTCAGTTATTTCTCATTGATATGTAAATTGCAGAAAAAGGGAACTTGTGGTTGCTATCAAACAGTCAACATACAGACTTACAGGATAATCCCCATATGAAACCATTTTGTGCTCAACAAAAAGATATTACAAGTTAAAAGCTGTTCATGGGTCAGAATCAGTGACTGAACAATGTTTTACAAAAGCAAGAAGTGTTTTTACCTTTCCTCGCTTTGGTCTTGACTCTACTCTGATCCTCTGGGGTCTTCGTTGGTTCTTGGTTTGGGGGCACCAGCCCAGTGACAACATCAAGCAGCTTCTCACAGGCCATCTAAATAAACAGATACAGTAAAATACAGACATCACGTGTGTTAACAGGGCAGGGCAATTACACACACCTTTGTGCAAAAGCTCTTTAAATGATCTGAATTTATTTTATCATTTGTACTCTGAATCTCGTTTGTAAGGACAGTGTTATGGATATATTTGCTAGGCCAAAACCTTTTCTGAAAATTATTGGTGATCATACATCAAGTTTCTACATCTGGGAAAGTTTATAGATAATGTAGGTATGCATGTAAAATGATGCTGTATAATAAAGCTTTGCATATTCATGTAGTATGAAGGTAAAGTAATTACATATCACCCAGCCAGAATAATTAAACTAAAGTATTGAGTATCGATATCATATTGTACTAAACGTCTAAATTCTGTAATTTGGACTCTGCTGCAGCTGTGTGCCTCTAAAATTGACTTTAACGCCACCTACAGGCCAGTTGGTGTTATACATCCAATTTTTACTTGTTACAATATGTTGAAGGCAAAACAACCTCCTACATATATAAACAGTAAAACATAATAGCGGAAATTAAAATTTTCAATATGATGTAAAAGATATATATATATATATATATAATAGTATAAAAACAATATATTTTGAGCCAGGTTGGCATTCAAAATGTAGAAGAGAAAAAAAAGATGGAATAATAAAGAAATATGCAACCTTTGTTTGCATACGTATGTCTCCTAATACCTTCCGACCTTATATCCTTATATATATATAATGATGTCTTGTGTGTGCGTGTGTGTACCTGTACTCGTCCAGTGCGTAGTGGCAGCAGGCCTTGCTGTATGAGTGCCTGTGGTTGCTCCTCGATGGCACTGACCTGACGGGCCTCTGCTGCCAGGCTGGGGCTGTTGCAACAGCAGCCATCTGGTGCAGGGCTGGAGAAGGGCCTTACGGTACTGTCCCTGCCAGACACACAAACACACACGCACACAATAACTCATGAGGCACACGGAAAGGTATTTCAATATTTATAAATATCTCCCCATTATGTAAACGATATATTGTATTGACTATATTCATTCCCTCATTTTCCTCCGCGTGCTGTCATCAGGTGTGTTAGGTTTATCCATTTGCCCCATTCTTTAAATACTATAGAAATTAAGTTATATGCAATGCTTATAATTATCTTGTACAGTATGAAATAACACTTTAGAAAAAATACACTGTTTCTTGCCTGGTATATGATCATGTCGGTGAGGAATATTCTGAACCACAGCCAGCTGTCTGTCTTCCAAGAGGCGCAAATCTTTTTGAACTCTGTTAAAATACAATGTTACATTCAAATGATAAGACTTTTTTCCCCTTACCCCTTGTTAAAGAGAAATGAATAAAGTTGTATAGAGATTTTTTTTAATCTATAAGAATCCATCTGTAGCTATTGTAGCTGCCAATTTATACATGGGTAAAATAAAAACAAGTGTTTACCTGTTTCCAGGCCATCGTGAGAGTGAAGAAGGTCCCAGCTTTCCCTCGCTGTGCGGAAGCTGTCCAGAGTCTCAGACCAGTTGGGCATCTCAGTCTTGTTGACTAAAATGTGTCGACCGCGACCTTTTCCCAAGCCTTCCTCATCATCTGAGCTCTACAGGGACACACACGCACATAGAGTAGGAAAGAGGAAATACAACAGAAAGGCACTCTAGTCATATACTAAAACCTATTTAGGACAACAACCTTGCACACTAAGAAAGCAGCTAGTGTAAATGTAGTTTGTTGTAAATGTAGGTGATTAAATGTCACTTTGTTATCATCAATGTGGACCTCAAACAAAAGTCTGGATCTTTGAGTAACAAGTTTGTGAACCCCTTATCTAAATGTTTTGATCTGTCCTCACCATTGTCTTCTCTCTCCCATCTGCCAGTTTGCGTTTCTTATGTGCATGTTTAACGACTCCTCTTTCCACCTCCACGCCGTTATACACCGAGCTCAAGTCCTCTACAAGGATCCACGGCCCCGAACTCAACGCATTCACACCTGCCAAACATGAACGCATCATTTGATCACTTAACCTTGCATTGAAAAAGACAACAGAGATCTAGAAGAACTAGAGTGAAATGACGGCAAAGACAGAGGCTGACCCTGGAACAGTGCAGGCTGTACAGCTGAGACATAGAGGAAGGCGCTGCGGAAGAGGACGAGTGCAGCACAGATGACCACTTGACTGCAGCAGCGGGACCTTGTGTCTCCTTCCAAACCAGGCAGGTAGCGACACAGCTCCTTTACTCTCTGAAGCATATCCACATAACTCCTGGAGCAGAAGGTAGACATAAAAAAGATTTACACTCACATTCAAAGGGCCAATGCTATTTCCCTCTGTGTCTCATTTTTACAGATTTCTTAACACATGATGGAAATGTTTTTTGCACATATTTAACTCCAAAATACACTTTAAATTAGCACCACTGTGTAATATACTGTAATATACATGTAGTACTAGCAAAACTGCATCCTTGAATATTCCCACACTACTATAATTTTAAAACATCGGCTGCCTTGCAACTCAATTTCATTATGATCTATTCTGACTGCTGTGTCTCTGTCTCTGATATGAGCTGACAGCAAAATCTATTGATCAATTTATATCAAATGACAGTAGACTAAATATTAGAAACTCTATCAGGTGAACCTAATAAGTGACTGTGTTTTACAAGAGTCACGTGAATACAAAAACAACCCAGAAAAACATTATTGGGTGTTTGACAGGCTGACAGATAGACTACCTCTGGCCCTTGTCTCCCTGCCACTCGCAGCGTGCTCCAACCACAGCGAGGATGTCTAACAGCCTCTCCCAAGGCTCCGCTACCACTGACGACTTTTCCGACAGGCCATCAATCACATAACGCTGGGAGCCTCGGGACACGCTGGGTGACTTCAGAGACCCACCTTCTTGAGAGCCTGAAACGAAGAACAAGAGGAACAGAAAACCAACGTCAGGCAGGCAGTGAATAGAAAAAATATGGAGGCAGACCCTACTCTTGAGGTTTAATGGGACTACACTGGGTTGGCGCTAAGAGAAAGGGAAAAGTACAGCATCAACACAGTGCAGCCTTACCCTGTATCTGAACATCAGCTGAGGGTCCACGAGTAACATAGCCGATGTAGAATTCAGCTGCTTTTAGCATGTACTTCTGCATCAGGCTGGCCGGTAAGCGCATGTCCATGTTGTTTATGACCAAAGGAAGGACATCACACACTGGAATAATCAGAAAGAGTTAGTGTGAAAGTAAGCAAGCGGTGTTTGCAACTGAATGAAAAGCACGTTTTTAAACGTTTCACTCACCAAACAGTTTTCTGAAGCAGTTGACAGGAGTCTCCACATTCTCTGAAGCCTCCGCCTCTAACAACGTTTCTCCGAGACTGACCTAAACATACAGCAGGATGTAATGTTCAGTGCCATTTAACTTCAAATGTCACCACAATGTAAGGGCTATGTTATCATTACGTACCCCATGTTGGACCACAGACTCTGGAAAGCGCTTCAGAAGGAGGAGCAGCATTTCTGCCTTCTCCAAAGTGTTGAAACACTGCTCTGTGGCTTTCAGGAGCATCTCACACTGCACACGGCCGGGCAGCGTCTCGAAAAGCCCTGAGGGAGACAAGACAAACAAACGCTCTTCAGATATCCAAACATTCACACTCCTGACAGTGAGGACGTTCATTTATTCATGCTCCTGTACGATAACAAGGGAGTTCAATTCATCTCACCTCGTAGAAACTGTGCATGTTTGTCCTGAGAGTCACTGCGCAGGGCGGCTGTGATGACACTGATCTCCCGCCATACAATGGGCTGATCTGGAAAGTTTATAAACCTAAAAGGACGGAGGAATCACACTCAGCAAAGGACAAGGGGCATTTACACCAGCACCACAGAGATAGTGCACTGTAACTCACATGTCATACAGCAGCCTCCCTGCAGAAGCGGTCCTCTCTGCATTGCGTTCAATGATGTACATCTCATACTGTGAAAACATGACAACAAGATTCATAACAGATCATCCACACATTTCAAAACACGTGATAGTGAGTTAAATAAATTCATATTGATGCGGTGGTTGGACTGTGAGCAGCTGAGGTGTATATGAATGGTACCTGTATGTTGAAATCTGCAGGGTAAAGGGTTCTGGCAGTGATGAGCCAGGCTTTGGCCGCACAGGGATCCTCAGAGACCAGCTCCCGGGCTCTTTTCACCAAAAACTCGCAGTCTTTTTGCGCTGACATTTTCACATGGAGACACAAATTGACGCCCCCCCTACGACCACACACACACACACACACACACAACCACACACAAACCAAGCAGCCTCGGGTTGTAGTTAATGCATGACGGTTGTTTCACACAGGCAGAGTCTCGGTGGATGGATTGATCAAAGTGCAAGCTGAAGCCAAGCGTCCAGAAGACGAGCAGAGCTGGTTTGCGACATGCCAAACCTTCAGCTAGCGCGTATAGACACCAGCTAGTTAGCGTCAGTGAGCCTTTCAATGAACTTCTCTGCTAAAGGAGCTTCAAACACAACGAAGCTGTGTCCGTCAGTTAACTTCAACACACACGCGTAGCAACCGTGTGCGGTCGACAGAAACGAGAAGAAGAGTCCTCGCGGAGATTTACAGTCGTCTAACGTAAATCTTTTATTACCACACATTTCTGACGGTGAGGGCAGTGACGTCACGCCGCAGTCGGTATAAAAGAAAAAAAAAAAAAAAAAAAAAAACCCGGAACGGTCCTGGCTTTACGACCGGCGGTTCAAAAGTTTTCGCACCAAAACAACACGGGGAAAAAAAATATAAACATAAAAAAATAAAAACAGCTCGTTTTTTAGCGTTTTACCTCCTTATCGACAAAGCGTAAAGCTACTTCACCTCGTCATAATAAATAATAATATAATTTAATAAATATTTATATCGGACTCAAACTGTGAACAGAAGCTCCTGAAACCTCTCAGATCGTCAGTACTGTGCGCATGCGCCAAAAGATGCATTTCTGCCGTCACCTGCTGCTGGGGGCTTTAGACAGGACAGACAGACAGGCAGACAGACAGGCAGACAGACAGACAGGACCTGCAGTTGTGTCCCAGTTACCCCGAAGAATAGCTGCCCTCCACCTGTCCCGGGACCGGACAGCGACTGGCAGGTAAAGAGACTCATCCGTGAACCCGCTGATCGATCGAAGTCTCCAATCAGTCACCAATCAATCAATCAGCGCCGTGTTCAGTATGATAGCCTCTTAGCATGTTAGGCGGACAGGTATTTCTCTGCAGCTGTAGTCCGTAATACGTCTCTTTACCTCAAACATACACTGACTGCTCACTAAGGGAGCCGAGGAGGCCCACACCAGCACTGTGGAGCTAACCAGACTAGCATTTGGTTGCACAGCTTTTGGGCCCGTCGGGGATTTGTTGGGTGTTTTAGTTAATTGTTCATACAGGAGCTAGTGTTCCCTTTGTGTGCTTGTTTTAATGGCACCGTTAAATGAGATTATATCTTTGTTTTATTTGTGTCTGTGCCTCCTGACTGACAGCATACTGACACAACAGGCATGACACGACGAGATCCAGGAGTGCAGAGGGCGTGATCGCCTGAGATTTAGTTGGAAAATCATTACGTAAGGGTCTTCCTGTGTAAACCCGTGTTCGTTTAAATATCGAAATCAGAATAGGGGTTGTTTTTTATAAGTTTGTGTTTTTAGTTATGCATAATGGCACAATCGAAGTGTTCAAGGGTTAAAATAAACTGTAATTCACTCTCAATGTTAAAGTAGTGCTTGTTAAAAAGTAGATCAAACAGATGTGTAACATTGCAATGTTTTATTTATTACATTACAGTCTTATTGTACATCAGTAGCCGGGTTTGTCACACTGATCTCAAACTGTGTGAAAGGATTTCTGGAGCGATATGTTGGTGGCCTGACCTCTAATGACCTCACTGCTTTGCCACCACTATCCCCTCCTTGGTCTATACTTAGACAGCTCCTAAACAACTTGCTTTATGTACTGAGTCTTTATTGTTCAAAATGTTCTTAGGACCTTCCTTTTACTAGAGGTATTTTGTTCTCGCTGTTTTGTGTGAGGTAAGGTGTCCTGTAGCTTCTTTAATACGTACATACATTAAACACTTACATACGTGGTGCTGTGCAATGTACATGACATGAAGAGACAGTGTGTCATCTGTCACTCAGAGCTGCTCTCCGCCCCCTCAGTTCACACTTATCAGCCCGTTAAGTTGTGTAATAACTCTTATCAGTGGCCAGTTGGTGCTGCCTGTTTCTGCAAGTTTAGGGCAGGTGGATGAGGTTAAACGGTTCAACCTGTGTAAGCCAACATGGAGGACGTACGGGCCATTTAATGTAGACCCCATCGATGTATTGCATATTATTTATGCATTTTGGTTTGGTTTATTTATATATATAAATTCATATCAGTCAGGGAAATATATCTTTATCAGTGTTTTTTAAAATATTCAGATGTTGCTATGTTGTGTTGATTGTACTTCAGTTGAATCCCATTTGTAGGTAAGTGTGCGTGTGTGTGTGTGTGCGCCCATTTTCATTTTGGACCGAGATCTTTGTAACATCAGGTCATCGCTGTCTCACTCTCCTGTGTTTTCTGTCAGCTTTTACTGCCATACTAAATCCACAAAGGCAAAAGGAGACACATAAAAATAATAAAGCTAATGAAGATTAATCGGATATTTCCACTCTCTTTCACAGGGTTTATATCTTAACAAAAGAGTGTGGTGCTGATGTAATGCTGGAGGAGCAGGCTGTGGAGCACTGAGCCTCCCATGGCTGTTAGCACCATGGACTCTGAGTCAGCCCGGACACCTCAGCCCCAGGCTGCCCTGACAAAAGGACGCCCCTCCCTGCTACCTGCTGGGGCTCTGAGTGCCAGGCTGGGCCATCATGGGAAGCACTATGTCTGCGGCTCCATTGCAGCTTTTACCAACATCGTGGTGACGTTCCCCATCCAGAAGGTGCTGTTCCGCCAGCAGCTGCATGGTGTGTTGGCCACTGAGGCAGTGCGGCAGCTCCAGAGGGATGGGCTGAGGAATCTTTACCGGGGCCTGCTGCCCCCGCTGCTCCAGAAGACCACCACAGTGGCCATCATGTTCGGCCTGTACGAGGACTTCTCTAGAGTCTTATTAGACCGGGCCGGTGGCAGCGGCGTGCCAGAGCTGGTCACCCGAAGCTTCGCTGCAGCATTGGCAGGAACCGCAGAGGCCATCCTGACGCCGTTTGAGCGCGTGCAAACACTCCTGCAAGACCATCGGCACCACGGGCGCTTCAACAACACGGCCCACACCTTCCGGACACTTCTGACTGAGTATGGTGTCAGAGAGTGCTACCGTGGCCTCGTGCCCATACTCCTCCGAAATGGCCCTAGCAATGTGCTCTTCTTCGGGCTCCGTGGACCCATCAAGGAGCAGCTCCCGGAAGCCACTAGCCGGGCAGGTCACATGGTTAATGATTTTGTGTGTGGAGGTTTGTTGGGAGCAGCCCTCGGCATCATGTTCTATCCATTAAATGTGGTTAAGTCCCGTGCTCAGTCTCAGGTTGGTGGAGCCTTCCAGCCTTGCAGGCAAGTGTTGCTAACAGTGTGGAGAGAAAGGGGTGGCAGTTTGCCCATGCTCTTCAGAGGGGCTCACCTCAACTACCACCGTTCACTTCTCTCCTGGGGTATCATCAATGCCACCTACGAGTTGCTGCTGAAGCTCATGTGAGAGAGGGGGGGGGGGTGGAGATGAGATGTAGAGAGGAAGAGAACAAATGTAAAGGGAAAAATACCTGTATAGAGTGATGAAGCCAGTTTGTTGTGAAGAAAGGAAATTGTAAAGTAAAGCCGATGCACTTGCTGTCTGGCACTATTTTTGGGACGCTGGGGTTTTCGTGACTGAAAGACAGCAATGAAGTTGCACTTCTGACAGGGGCCAACAGTCAGTGTGAGATACACCACCTGCCATTGTTACTATTTACTGTTGTCAAAGTGTTAAAAACATGCTTTCGCCTATAAAAACTTGTGCCAGGGTCCAATTGAAATGCCCTTGTTTGCTCTGTCTACAAAAAATTCGGGGGAGCAAACTGAACTCCAGCGCTTTTTTTTTTCTTCTTCCACAGTTTCAAGCAAAGGTTACTTGACTGGATTAACTGTTTTGTAGGAGACGCTGTTTCTTCGTTTGTGCTGTTTGCTGTGGTGTGTCTTGTTGACAATATCCGTCTGTGTGAGCAAGAGCACTTCCTCTGTGAGGCTGTATTCTGCCACTTAACTGAAACACTTTTGTACTTTTTGAAATACCCCAAGATTTATTGTCAAGTAGAGTGTCAGTCGTTTAATTTCCCTTTACCTATTCGGCCCATGAGTTGAGGAGATCAGAAGGCTAATACTTTAGCAATTATTGAAATGAGTATCATATACATGTTCTTGGAAAGGCTGTCAAGCAGACACAGGGAGGCTATTTTAAACAGTTTCTTCTTTCGCACATGATGCTGCCAATTGGAAATTATTTGTCTTGGTTTATTTTATGAAGTGCTACTGGCAGGGTGTATATGTTATTTGACTTTAGATAAGTGACCATTGATGTATATGTCAGTAAAACATACAGTTACACCCAGATCTGGTCTGTTTTTATAATTTATGAGATGGTACAGAAATAATATTGTATCTAGACTTTTGCAACAAATAAACCCACAGAAAACGTTTGCCCTTTATTTAAGATATTATGTTTTAACAAAACCATGGCAGCTTCAAAAGAAGACTTTGGATATTAATTTGACTATGCACCATTGCTTTGATTGACTAGACTATAAAACTCCTCAACATTTATTTCCTTTTTTCTAAACTTTGATATTACTTGTTTTATACATGTATCTCCCTCCCTCTGCTCACTATATCCTTCCTTATCTCACGCTTGCTCTACTCTCTGTCTGTAACATCTGTTGACATAATGGGCTCAGATTTCAAGCTTGAGTAGCTGCAGTCACCACGCAGCAGCTCTGGCTGGGTACGACAGCCCGAAGAGGAAAGGCATGGTGCTTGGACACAGAGAGAGAGACTGAACAGCGATAGCAATGGTGCTGAGAGAAGACAGGGGCAGAGGGTAATGTTCAGTGGCACAAAAAGCTCAAGCTGCCTTGTAAATGGATCACTTGGCCTATTTCTTCAGTTTCTTTTTTCTTTATGACTGCCCACACTGTTCTGTTTCATGAGATCTTTTCAGGGTTTTCTAGGTTTTCCTCTTTTAAAATAAGACTTCGTATTGAATTGGGCTTGGAAAAGTGGGACACTTTCGCTTATATTAAATGCTGTTTATAGTTGCCACTTATAGCCTGAAGCACAAGTCACCATATCACTATGAAAAATGTCAAATTAATGATTGCAACCAAATGAAATGTTTCAAATCAATACATTAAAAGTGTCGACAGTGAATATGTCTCTTATGTGGGTGTTTGTGGGGATAAATTAGTTTAAGCTTGCTAAAAAAAAAAGACAAATTATGTTTTACTTATGTAATAGAGGCCCCCAATACATTAGGAAACCATGACTATTGTGTGTCTGTCAGTTCTCCCTACTTTACAATAACATGTCTCATCTATCTGACCAAAATATGCACCATAATCAATCACAAGCTTTACCATTACAACCATCTATTGTAGTCGAGCTGAATGGACACGGCACAAAATGAAGGACAGAGCAAACACTACACTGTCAGACAATGTTTTTAACATGTGCGACAGTGCAGAGTGCGACTTTCTAGATTACTGTGCCAAGAAGTCAGACTGCAGATAATGATCAGATTAAGGGCAATCTGACATGGGGACTTTGGATCAGCGGGGGTTGAGCTGCCGTAGTTACAAAGCCTCTCGGCTCGCTTGCTTTTCATCCTCACAAATGTTCTCCGAATATCATCTTAGGTGAAATCTTGAATTTTTAGATTCAGATTCATTATTTAACTATGTGTTTTAATAATAAGAGTGGAAATGTTGCTCTAACTCAGCTGGCTCAGTAAATAATTTAGAGACGTTCCCAGTACCAAATGAAAGAAAGAGAAAAGGGAAAGGAGGCCTCAGTGCTACATGAATAGACGAACGCTGCCTTCGTGGAAGTACAGCGACTCAATGCTGGGAAGAAGAAATCACACAATAAGTCATTAATAGTATTAGTAGTGCAGGGATTTTACTAATGGAGAGGTTATTTACATTCCCATGGTACAGCTTCATATCTGTCTCTCTGCTATTGTTTAAATGTTCCCCCTGGTTCTTCTGATCTGATTCGTAGACTTAATATTCATGGAGGGAGCTAATATGACCTGGAAGTTGCTACATGAAATTAGTTAATAACTGTTCTATAGACAAACCCAAACACCCAGATGTTCAACATTGTTAAGGTCAATGTGTAATTTATTCCCAAACAATACATTTCTTGGTACATTGTCTTCATTGTACGTGGATACGGAAAAGTGACGGCTCATGTGGAAATACACTGTCCTCTTTGAAAATGAAATGCTGTTGATACAATTTTAGCGTACAGAAACAAAACAAATAGGTGACACAGGCTCTCTTCCCAATTCGGGGCCTGCTGGATGAACAACTAGAGTGACACGTCTTGATGTTAGTGCTGTGATGGACACTGCTACTCGACATTTGCCTCCATGGTAACTGGAAGCTCTGAAAGCTCACACAAGGAGACCTACCTTCTTATTTTTCAAGCATGGCTACCTTGACAAAGATTTCCTTCTGTCATCTATTCGGAAGATTAAATATACAACCTATGTCCTCACCAACTCTCTGTGAACACTAAAGCCTCACTTCAGCTAATCCCCTTATCATATTTGTGTAAGCAACTGCTGACTGATTTGCCTTAATTACCTTTTTGTTGTCGTAGGTGGCTCAAGTAAATCCTCCAAATTGGATGGCTCATTAAATTAGTTGGCATCATGTGATATGGACAAGCTGATTAGTGAACACTGTACATCAGCAAACCGATCGAGCAGTGTAATCCTTTTTACTGACAATTCACAGACATCAGTATAGACAGGAGTTTTTATATTGACAAGTGCTAATCCCATGCAACTTTGCAAAACGTTGCAATCCATAATGCAGTAAGTTTTCCCGAAACAAGACAAAAGGCCAACATTCCAAACAAAGAAAGCACCCATTATATTCAGACAAAAACATAATGCAGCTATTGTTGTTTTTAATGTTAGCACAAAAAACAAGAATACAGTATGTGTAGGGTGGGGAGTTTATGTTTGCATAGCCATAAACTAAGGTAGAGACAGAACAGGACACAAAGATATAAATGTATATCTACACTTCTGACCGCAGCATACGGCAGTCAGTCCATCTGTCAGTATGTCTTTAATAACGTGGTGTGCCCAAAGAGGAAACTGAAGTGGGGAACAGTTGTGGCTCAGTGTTTTAAGACTTTGGATCTTTGCTACATCTGGACATAGTTTAACAGTCACCCTTGTGCCGCGTCAAAAACATTTATTTTTTTTAACTACATAAATAAAGTCCCCTGTTTTGCTCCCTGGGCCTCATCCACACATTCACAGAAAATATATGTAATGTCCTTTGGATGAAAACTACATTAATGTTATAATACTGCATACGTTTGGGTAATGGAGTATTTCCAAGAAGCATTCAGTCAGACCGGGAAGGGGTAGAAAAAAACACTTTGCACAAGGGTATGTGTCTCATAAAAAGGTGCAATCTGTAACAGTCAAAAGTGCTCTCCCTGCTTTGTAATGGTATAGTTTTGTATCCCATTTATAAGTGACTGTAATGTTGAAAAACTAAATCCTCAAAAAGGTGCGATCCCTGCAAATATAAAACAAATCAGTTAATAACTGTATTTTGCAATTGTGATAAAGTATATATTCTGTATTTTGTCAGTAAAATGTCCTGTTAAAACTTGAAAAATGACAATTTACAGATTACACCTTGTGGAGTGGAGAAATCTTTAAAGCAGCAAAAGATAACATAATACTGTCTCAAAGAGAAGGAAAAATAAAAATTCCAGTGACATCCATAGTTTTTTTTTTCCACCAGAGACCTGCACATCACAGACCATGGTGCAAATATTGTAAAAATAAATACATAAATACATACATGGGTAATTCATCCTTACATACATACACATATTGTATCATAAAATAAGAGAATTGTAATAATTATAAAATTCATATGTACAAATGCATAGTCCATATGCGTCCAAGAAGAGGCCAAGCAATGAAGTTTCTTCTCTTCGTTTAGGGTTTTGTTTGGTGTATGTGTTTTCCATGTGGTTATGTGTAATGTGGGTCGAAGTTTGTGTGCTATGGTGTGCATGGCACTTACTGTACAAGAACACAGGGGTTACACACCAGATCGCTCTGTGCTGTTTCTTCTTGTATCACCTCTTGAGTCAGTGGGTCATTAGTGGGTAAAAGTTCACAGGTCAAAAGTTGAGAGGTACGTGTCCAGGCGTGTCCGAGGTGTCAAGTGTGCGTGTCCGGAAGAGCTGTGTGAGTGCGAATACGGAGGAGATTAGCACAGTGCAGCGTTTGGCTAAGAGCCTTACCCCGTCACTCTCCCCCTGACCCTGTCCAGACCCAGTGAAGCCCACACTCTTACCCCCAACCCCAGCACCAGTTCCAGCTGTCTCAACAGCCCCAACAAACTCCCGGTACAGACCCACTATCTCCTTTAGCTTGTCCATGGGTTCCTGGCTGTCATCGTCCTCATCCCTGTGGACCAGACTCGCATTATGGCAGATGTCACAACCAGGGCAGGGGTTTGTTCGCAGGCAGGCTGCTGACAACTTAACCAGGGCACCGAAGCTGTTAGATAAAGAACGTAGGGCTTCATCAGGAGCCCAACCTACACGTGTGGCACGCTGACACCCAGATGCTAGTCGTCGAGCCTCTGCCTGGAGAAGACTCCTTTCTGCCTCTGTCAGGGCAGCGGTGCTTGTTCCAGTACAATCTGGGCTCGGTCCTAGTGTAGTACTGCCTTCATTTCCATTGTGATTAAGGTCAGGCCCTACTTTTATGCCTGTGATATCCTTTGAGTCTTCACATGTTTGTTGCGGTTGTTCAAGTGCTCCCCTCTCTAAGACCAACAGAAGTTGGTCTATATCTTGGCGTAGGGAGGCAAAACCTCCTTTCAGCCCACCATAATTCTTGTTGGTAAGTGAACGTAGAGGACAACCAAATGAGGTTGTGGGGGAAACCGGACGTGAAACGAGGGGACTGAGTTCAGAGGAGGCAGTGGAGAAAGTAGAAAGTGGACGGGGGTTGTCCTTAAGCAGTGAGAGAATATTGGGGTTTGGAGGTGGGGTTGTTGGAGAAGACACTGGTGCGGGTTTGGCAGGTTTGGGGCGTGTGCGGCGGGAGAACTCATAAACGGTAAGCTCCTCATCAAAGCTTACACCATCCTCAGTGTCTCCACTGAAACAGTTGGCATAAACTGTGCGGCAGCCACAAGCCTCCCGTTGCTGTTGAGGGGGAGTACTATCTGCGAGTGAGGAAGTTGGTGAATCACCTCCAATTTGCATGCTGGACACACCTCCCAACCCTACTGCTGAATGGGACCGGGACTGTGGCTGCTCTGATGAAACACTGCCGCAGTGCACACTATTCTCTTTATAACTCAGATTAGGGTGGGAGCCGTTTGTCCCATTGGCTTTTTTCATGTGTGAGGTCACTTCCTGGGCCTCTTTGATGGTCGCTATGACAACCTCAGCTCCATCCTCTAAAATGTTTCCTTTCCCTCCTGATTTTGAAGTTTCAGTCTCTTTTTCCTTGACAGGGGTCTTGTTTAAGTCTGATAAACCACTGGCTACAGACAAACCAGAGCCAAATCCAGATGTGTCTCCATTGATGGAGCTAGAAGAAGGATAGTCCAGAGTTCCCAAAATCTCCTGAGAACGGGTCATATACCATGGCAGAGCCTGGATCTTCCCTCTCAGGGCAGAAGCTGGTAGTCTGCCTCCCAGGCTGGTAAAGCTGGTCCTCAGGTCTGATCCTGATCCAGATCTTCCAGGTTCTCTGCTTTCTAGGCCTCCGACACCTTTGGAGTTAGTTGAGGTGAGGGAGGTGGTGAGGGTGAGAGGCGCATCTGTATTTTTGGGTGACAAGCTTTCATGACTCAGAGAGACCCTCCTGGGTCCTGACTGAACGCTGCCATTGCGGCTGCTCCAAGGGTGGATTCCATTTGGTGGACTGACGCTATCCTTAAAGATCCCTTTATTTGGATCAGTTGGGGAAACAGGAGAGCTAGCAGGTAGTGATAAGGGGTGGAAATTGGAGGGAGAAGTGGGTTTGGGTGGTACTGGAGGGGGAATAGCTAGCTTTGTACCTGAATTAGAGCGAGGGATAGGGGGTAGGTTTGGTGGCTTTTTGGAGGGTAGGGCAGTCCCATTGATTTTCCCCTCAACTTTAGGAG